TTTAATACTTTCAAAGAAACTTTATTCCACATGGGACCAGTCAGATTTTTCCATAACTTTCCATACGTTAATGCCTTTATTTTGGCATGATGATTCATTAGCCTCCATATGCGTATGCTCCATTATTGAGAGAGAGAGAGAGAGAGAGAGAGAGAGAGAGAGAGAGACAGACGGACAAAAGTGGAGCTACCAAACCTCTTTGATGCTTGCACTGAAGCACCTATTTATGCAATAAAATATGTGTATTGTCTTACAGATCTACCACTAGCCGGGCATTGGACGCGTTCATGTTAAGTCGAGGAGAATAAAGTGAACATGACTCGTAATTTAGTAGGTTAAAGTCAGCGTGACAATTTCGTTATAATTCTAATTAATCACCCTTTAAATAATTATAATATCTCTTATATTTATAATTATAAATTAAAATTTTTAATATAATCGAGAAGTACACATATCTGTCAAATCGTATAAATCTTTATGTCGTATGATTTATTTATTTATTTTTAATTTTTAGCTTGATTGGTTTCTTAAAAGTTTCCTCCCATTTTCATAATATAAATTGCAACACAAACACAAAATAACGGTTTTTATCCAAAATACTGTTGCTTTGCATCGCAATGGATTTGTTCCTGCAGGGTTAATTATAAGGTTTCATGTCAGCATTGAGCCCTCTCTGTTTTACTGTCACATCAATATAATAAAATTTTAAACAGTTGTTTTTAATTTCAAAGGGGGTACGTATATGACCGGTTCTTGAATTCTTAAATATATTTGTGAATTACCCGCGTTACATTGTACGTCGAGCATAACAAAATTATTTCAAAATTGATAATTTTTTAATTATAATTTTTTATTTAATTCATTTTTTTCATAAATTATCTATATAAAAAACATGATTTGTTTTTCTTTATGTATATATTCTGAAATAAAAACTTGTAATACTTTAAATTAAAATATTAGTCAAGAATTAAAAAATTTTAGAAATATATATTTTTTTTCATAAGAATGTATTTAAAAAATAAAGTTATAATTAATGCATAGACTTATATAAAAATTAACTGATAAAAAAATAAATATTTACTCTTATTTAATGCCGATAAAATGATTATTTTTTTAAAAAATATATGCATTTGATCTATATATATTTATTTATAAAATAATTAATAATATTAGCATAAAAAACAGTATTTGAATAATTAGGTGATTTTTTAAAAATATATTAATTATTTACTTCAAATAAATTGATTCTATAATATTTTTTAAAAATATATGTAGCAAATAGTTGGCGTTATGTGTTAAGATGTAAAGTTAATTTTTAATAAAATTGATGATTCAATAGTTTTATCATACGTTTTGACTATACTTAATGAACTAAGACAAATTATTTGGAATACACTTTTAATCTTTTAGATTAAAGTAACCGTATATTTATATATAAGCAACTATGATCATTTAAAAATTATAGGAATACAAGATATATATTATATCAATTTATTTAAAAAAAAGAGAGAAAAAATTGTTTTAAATTTTATTCTAATATTCAAACATGGAAAAAAATAAATTATATTTAGCAATAAATAAGAGTTTATTAAAAAATTATTAATTAGATGAGGATTTTCATAAAAAATAAAAAATTCAAAGAATAAATTTTACGTAGTAAGAGTAATATAATCTAAAATAGTTAATTTTAAAATATAAAAATAATATTATAGATATTTAATCTTTGCCACGTTGCATGAAAAACTCAAATAATAACGCTCGATATTCCATAAATTTTGCCTAAAAATTCTTAATTTAAAAGAAAGGGAAAAAATTAAAGAAAAGGAAAAAAAAAACAGGTTTTAATTAAAGGTTACAATCTTAAAGTGAAAATTAGGATTGAAATAGATGTAATTAAAGGTTACAATATTTTTCTTGATTTTATAAAATCATATCGATTCTTTTAATACAAAAGGTTAAATGAAAAATTAAACTAAGAAAAAATAAAATAATTATTATCTCATATGAATTTTAGAACAAATAAAAAATATCACAATAAATAAATAAAAAATAAAGGTTAGAAATATTTTACTTTCTCTCACGTATCAGAAAAAAAGGACAGCAGTAATATACTCTAGTTTCTCACACAGATGCCATAAAGAATGTTTCCAAGCGTGGTTGAAACAGGGAAATAATGCAGATTAATTTCTATGCAGATTGATAAGTATGATGTCTTTAATACTTTCAAAGAAACTTTATTCCACATGGGACCAGTCAGATTTTTCCATAACTTTCCATACGTTAATGCCTTTATTTTGGCATGATGATTCATTAGCCTCCATATGCGTATGCTCCATTATTGAGAGAGAGAGAGAGAGAGAGAGAGAGAGAGAGACAGACGGACAAAAGTGGAGCTACCAAACCTCTTTGATGCTTGCACTGAAGCACCTATTTATGCAATAAAATATGTGTATTTTCTTACAGATCTACCACTAGCCGGGCATTGGACGTGTTCATGTTAAGTCGAGGAGAATAAAGTGAACATGACTCGTAATTTAGTAGGTTAAAGTCAGCGTGACAATTTCGTTATAATTCTAATTAATCACCCTTTAAATAATTATAATATCTCTTATATTTATAATTATAAATTAAAATTTTTAATATAATCGAGAAGTACACATATCTGTCAAATCGTATAAATCTTTATGTCGTATGATTTATTTATTTATTTTTAATTTTTAGCTTGATTGGTTTCTTAAAAGTTTCCTCCCATTTTCATAATATAAATTGCAACACAAACACAAAATAACGGTTTTTATCCAAAATACTGTTGCTTTGCATCGCAATGGATTTGTTCCTGCAGGGTTAATTATAAGGTTTCATGTCAGCATTGAGCCCTCTCTGTTTTACTGTCACATCAATATAATAAAATTTTAAACAGTTGTTTTCAATTTCAAAGGGGGTACGTATATGACCGGTTCTTGAATTCTTAAATATATTTGTGAATTACCCGCGGTACATTGTACGTCGAGCATAACAAAATTATTTCAAAATTAATAATTTTTTAATTATAATTTTTTATTTAATTCATTTTTTTTCATAAATTATCTATATAAAAAAACATGATTTGTTTTTCTTTATGTATATATTCTGAAATAAAAACTTGTAATACTTTAAATTAAAATATTAGTCAAGAATTAAAAAATTTTAGAAATATATATATTTTTTTCATAAGAATGTATTTAAAAAATAAAGTTATAATTAATGTATAGACTTATATAAAAATTAACTGATAAAAAAATAAATATTTACTCTTATTTAATGCCGATAAAATGATTATTTTTTAAAAATATATGCATTTGATCTATATATATTTATTTATAAAATAATTAATAATATTAGCATAAAAAACAGTATTTGAATAATTAGGTGATGTTTTAAAAATATATTAATTATTTACTTCAAACAAATTGATTCTATAATATTTTTTAAAAATATATGTAGCAAATAGTTGGCGTTATGTGTTAAGATGTGAAGTTAATTTTTAATAAAATTGATGATTCAATAGTTTTTTCATACATTTTGACTATACTTAATGAACTAAGACAAATTATTTGGAATACACTTTTAATCTTTTAGATTAAAGTAACTGTATATTTATATATAAGCAACTATGATCATTTAAAAATTATAGGAATACAAGATATATATTATATCAATTTATTTATAAAAAAAGAGAGAAAAATTGTTTTAAATTTTATTCTAATATTCAAACATGGAAAAAATAAATTATATTTAGCAAGTAAATAAGATTTTATTAAAAAATTATTAATTGGATGAGGATTTTCATAAAAAATAAAAAATTCAAAGAATAAATTTTACGTAGTAAGAGTAATATAATCTAAAATAGTTAATTTTAAAATATAAAAATAATATTATAGATATTTTATCTTTGCCACGTTGCATGAAAAACTCAAATAATAACGCTTGATATTCCATAAATTTTGCCTAAAAATTCTTAATTTAAAAGAAAGGGAAAAAAATTAAAGAAAAGGAAAAAAAAAACAGGTTTTAATTAAAGGTTACAATCTTAAAGTGAAAATTAGGATTGAAATAGATGTAATTAAAGGTTACAATATTTTTCTTGATTTTATAAAATCATATCGATTCTTTTAATAGAAAAGGTTAAATGAAAAATTAAAGTAAGAAAAAATAAAATAATTATTATCTCATATGAATTTTAGAACAAATAAAAAATATCACAATAAATAAATAAAAAATAAAGGTTAGAAATATTTTACTTGATTTTTGAAATTCTCAATTTCAAAAATCAGAAGCAAAAAAAAAAAATTTATTACTTTTGCACAATTTTTTGGTCATAAAAAAATTAATGATATTTTCTCGAATAAAAAAATGAAAATCATTTTCCTACTCAATGTTTTTTTTTTCTGCCTCAAATGTAGCAATGGAATATTCTATTGAAATTAAGACCCAAAATCTTATCCAATGTTCGCTGAGCAGACGTCAACAAATCAAAAAACACGGGATACAAAAAGTTTTCGTAGAATAATTTATGATAGAAGAAGTTTTCTGATTTTTTGATTTTTTTTCCTCCTAAATTTAAACCACTAAAGTTTTTACCAACACTTATTCTAATTACCACCGAAAATAGATTCTAAAAGCAGACCCACAGCAGTCTGGGGCCTGAACTAATCAAAGAAATGCTGACACTCACACAGATAAAGTTGATTCCTGCATAGGATTTTGATGTATAGAAACAAATCACATGAGAGGACTCCATTGCCATGGATCCTTCTAGTGAATGATCTAACGCTTGAATTGAACAATATCACTTCCCCGACAAAACTAAATACAAGAGCTCGAATCTTGGGCAGCAAGACAAAATTTTCATTGTTTGCAACCGTTGTACAACCAGACATCACTTTACAAAACTAGGCATTTGAGGCCTAAAACAGAAAAGGAATAATGACAAGTTCTGCGCTGTAATGCATCTACATGTTTTACTCAATTTGGGCTTTGCCAAACCCTTCATGCCTTCGTTCCTGTGACCGTAAACAACCCCCAGGAAGAAGAAACCTAAACCTATCCGCATTCTCTATCAAATATGATGGAAGATGAATTGCAGAAGCTGAAGGGTGTATTGGTCCCATCTTTGTAATCAGCTCCCGAAACGTGTACTCCTCAGGTAGCATGTCAAAGAGATCTTCGCCCCTGCAAATAAGTTTCTGAATTCTAGAGTAGTTCAAAAAATCTTTCCTCCTGACTCTATCTGCATGGCTATAAGCAGTCATCTTAAACACAAATTCCTGAAGTCGGCGAAAACAAAAACTACAATGCCACCCAGAATCAGAAAGAATAAGGTCAGTTTGGCGCGAATGCCGGTATCCGGTCTGAGGGCCAAAAATATGAATTGAGGCCCGCCAGCTACTGTAATCTACAGGGAACTCAAATGAGTACAGGTAGTGCTTCAGCTCCAGGTGTACGGTATGTGGAATTTCCTCACACCACTGAAGTAGTTTCACTGTGTGTGGGCTTGGAATCTCATCAGCATCTGACATAATGATCAAGTCACCAGTGGAAATTCCTGATCTGCGGAGCAAACCACTCATAGCTTTCCGCTGCTCAGACTCAAGTACAAAAGGGTCTTCGTGTTTTCCACGGGCAGCTTTTCGGCCTGAAAAAATACCATGGACAATCTTCTCCTTCGCAAAGGCAAATCTAGACCGGTTTGAGTCAAAGAAGAGAGGCTTGGGGATGCCAGTGAAAGTGGTGTTTGACTCAAGGATTACAAATTTAGTGATGTAAGGATGAAGCTCACGCCATCTGATCTCAAGAATGTCTAGCTCATTGCTAAAGATGATGGCATCAAATACACGACGAGGTTCAGAGCGCAGGGACCAACCATGTAGGAGGCAAAGATGTTCCATTGGAACATTCTCTGCATAATAGTGAGGTAGATGCTTAAAGGGAGAAGGTGGATTGTCCCAAAGTGGACGGAAAAGGTAGGAGATATGCTGGGCATGTATGAGGATTCCAATCACACAAGTTGCCACAAGTATCAGCAGTATGAAGAGAATAAACTTAGAGGATACTCTTCTGGAGGCTAAGCGGAGATGTCTAGGGGCCATGATTTGGTGTAGAAAGATCTAAAGGTGCAGTTACATACATGTTCCCGATTCTGCAAGCCCCAAAGTCATGCTTCTTCCAACATTAGTCACCTAAACAATATTTGAGTGGTCATGTATAAGACTAAGATGGCAGTTAGAAAATTATTTAATGACTTGTTTATTAAACAAAGTTATTGAATAAAAATGCACAAAAAAAAAAAAAGGCTAATTAAATAGAAGAAGCTCACAAGCAGCATTAGGCAAATTTCCCTTAAGGATTTTTAAGTTCAAAAGCATCATATTCCCAGTTTAAACGGCCAAAAAAAAAAAAAAAAAAAACCCAGTACGCAACAAATTGGCATTCCCAATCTTAACATTATAAGCTTGACCATGGTTTATTAAAGTCTGACATGAGGTGGATCAGCCTTGAGGTCTAATAGAATGTAGTTAACGATCAAGTAATTATAGACATGCAATGTTGGAATCGTGCATCATGCGTTTCCACCAAGACTGCCTAATATCAAATTACTGAAAATAGCAAATAAATCTTAACGAGTTGCACAGAAATAGCATCATCACTGCAGTCTTCAAATTTCTTTGAACTAGACAAGCTGCAGACCTATTTTAGTTTGCCATACTTAAGGGACAGTAATAGAAATAAGCTGTACAACAAAAACCTCTACTGAAGTATTTGAAAAAAAGTCTGTTGCATTTTGAACTTTACGTAGACAGACTTAACTGTTTGGTAGTAAAAGTTGTACATACACATACATACATATATAGAGAGACGACACAAGCTAATGTTATCTAGATAGCTAGAACTCTGTATTTACACAGGCAAAGGGTAACTCAATCAGGTGTTTTTCAGCCCAAATAATCTCTTCCTTTAAATCTATCCCTTGTTCTTATCTCTCAACCTTTACTGTCAAGCTTAAACCTAAAAATTAAATTTTATGGAAGATGCAATTTGTTAAAATCAATCAAACAACCAATACCCCACTTCTCCGAGAACCCATATAAATAAACTTCTCAAAAACACATAGATACCTCACCAACAGACCCTGAGGACTAAAAAGAAGCTTTTGAAGACTGGTTGCATTGAATAGAGATTGTTTATTACAAAGATAGTCATAAATTCTGATATGAAATCCAAGCTGATTGGCTAGGGGTTACCAGGTTTGCTTTGCCAACTCTACTTGTGTATGTTTCTTCTTGTAGTACTCAGAGCCTGTTGGTGACATTTTGCATGATTAAGGAGTATCTTTGTAATAAACAATCTAAGCAAACCTTGCAACACCTACCCAATCAGCTTGGATTTCACATCAAAATTTAGGACTATCTTTGTAATAAACAATCTAAGCATACCTGGTAACCGTAGCCAATCAGCTTGGATTTCACCTAAGAATTTAAGACTATGTAATAAACAATCTGTATATAACAATGCAATCAGTCTTAAAAAAATTGAAGCCATTTTTTTTATTATCTTACAAACCTTTTGCACGATTAAATACACATACAACTAGGAGTGTTCGTTCGGTTTCGAAATATTTCAGTCGGTTTTTGGTTAACTGAATTATCAAAAACAATAACCAAAACAAAACCGAAATGTTTTTTGGTATTTTGGTTAAAAAACCAAAATCTTGGTTTTGGTTTTTGGTGATTCGGTTTTTAACCAGTTTTTTTTTTTTTGGCAAAAATCTGGAAAAAAATTGTGTGTATGTGTGTGTGTGTGTGTGTGAGTGAGTGAGTGAGTGTGTGAAGAAAAGAAAGAAAAGAAAATGATGAGTTTTAGAAAAGGAAAAAAGAAAAGTTGAAAAGCGGCATGCTATATAATATAATGTAATTTAATCTATGGAAAAGTTGTTGATTCCTTCTGAGCAAATTCATCCTTTTGAATAATACGTTAATTAATAATAATAACGGTGGTTGCCTGAACTACTGCATCTAACAATCTCTTCTATTTCTCTCAGTATACAGTTTTTTTCCTTTCCCTCAATGTAAAAAAGCAAAGAATACCTGTTATTTCTAGTCAACCAATCAATTGACCAGGTATCACAAAAACTGAAAAGAAATTGGAAAGGGCTCTTTCTTTCTGGTGCCCCACTATAACAGTACATATTCCATTGGCCAGATTCAAAGACAATATTGAAGAAGCCATTGGTTTTTGCTGAATTTGGGAAGTCAAAGAAAGATCCAGGATACAGTACAAGTGTGAGGGATTCTTTCTTGAAAACAGTATATACGAGCATCTACAACTTAACTGCAGAACTATATGCACACACAAATACACTGCCAGCTGAAGTCTTAGAAACACAACAAATTAAAGATTCTTTGGGATGTGGTTGAGCCTTACAAGAGACCAAAATCATTCACTCCTCTTGTTGCTATTTATACTGCCGCTTTTTAAACTGGGGTCATAGGCTCCGCCATTACTGAACAGCTCTACAAGGTAACTCAACTCACCCACTTTCCCTCTCCTTTCTACAGTAGGGCCAATGCTAATTACTCTAAATGGATTGTAAATAGGAAAAAAGCCAGGATTTAATTCAACAATAACTCACCATGAACTTAAAATCGGAGTGAAACTGAGAGTAGTGTGTCTTATGGCTCGCATTCGCAGGAATCAGGACCAGGAGGATGGGCTGACGGACCAGGCTTCCTGAGGAAGAGATGGAGGACCGGAGGTGGCTGGGTAACGCCGTGATGGCTGGTGGAGCCGTGGAGGGGGTGGCGTCTTTTAGGGATTGCCAATTTGCGACGCTTTTTTTGATTTTAGGAATTGGAGAAATGAGAGTAGATGATCTGAATTAATAATAAAATATATATCTGTACATAAAATAAAAATGGTTTTCGGATTAAATTTAATAGTTTCTACAATTTATTACTATATATAATAACATGGAAAATAAAATAATAAAGAGTTGACCGTCATTTGGATGCTGAAAACTAAGAATATTCAAATCCCATTTCTTTAATGACATTCAAAAAAAAAAAAACAAATCAAGAAACCAAGTTGAAGCAAATAAGGAAATGAAATGATAATAAAAAATTAGTAATTACCTTACTTAAAACAAGTTGAGGACTGGAGATTCGTAAATTAAATGAATAGATTTGCTGAACAATTCCCATTTTAACACGGCACCGTTTTAAGCTAAACAGAGAGGGAGAAGAAAGCAGAAATAGAAATGTTTCAATGGCGGGTAGAAAGAAGAAGATAGAGGGAGTGATTGCCCACGGGTTGAATACGTGAAGTTGCTGCCTAAAAGAGATTGTATGGTTACGTGCCCGCCTTTTAGTGGAGGGAGCAGTTTACTTTTTGAGTGGTGGGTGGCAGTGGAGAAATGAGAGGTAGTGACACGGTGTTTTCTTTTTATTTATGTGGTTATCCATATTATTTTAGTCCCCGTAGTATTTAACTAGTTGGTTACATATCCAAATAACAAAATTATTTCAAAATTTTATAATTTTATAATTTTTTATTTAATTATTTTTATATTTTTTATTTTAAAAAAATATGATTTATTTTTCTTTATGTATTATTTTTAAATAAAAATTTATAATAATTTAAATTGAAAAATTAATCAAGAATTTAAAAAACACTTTAAAAATATATTTTTCATAAGAATGTATTAAAAAAATAAAATTACAATTAATGTATAGATTTATATAAAAATTAACTAATAAAAAAATAAATTTTTATTCTTATTTAATGTTGACGAGAATATTATTTTTTGAAAGTGTATGCATTTGATATGTATGTGTGTTTATTTATAAACTAATCAATAATATTAGCATAAAAATTATATTTGAATAGTAGAGTGATTTCTTTAAAAAAATATTTTATTTTAAAGAAATTAGTTCTACAATGTTAAAAAAAAAACATTCTAGCAAATAGTTAGTGTTATGTGTTAAGATGTACAATTAAATTTTAATAAAATCAATAATTCAATAATTTTTTTTATACACGTCGATCATATTTAATAGACCAAACAAATTATTTGAAATACATTCTTAATTTTTTAGATTAATATATCCGTGTGTGGATGCTTGTGCGTATTTATACAATTATCATTTAAAAAATTTAAGAATTTATAATATCTATTATATCCATTTATTTTTGGAAAAAAAAAACAATTGGATGAGAAACTATGGATTAGTTGAGAAAATAAAGTAATAAAAAGTTAAATTGTCACGCACAGACATTTGAACTACCCACAGGATTTTGATTGAGTTCATCTCACATCATCAATGCTAATCAAGTTGGCAGCCAGTGGATTGCTATGGCACTTTTTTTTCTTTGTCATCATCCTTCTCTACAAATTAACAAAGAAATAGGAGTATTTTATAGAATAAAAGGGTTAGGTGATTGATAATTAGGATTGAGTTGGCTTAAACAACCACATATTTGTTGGATATTAATTGGCGGACAAATGCCATTAAGGATGACAATCATGCATTTGCCATGTGACATAGGTAATGCAAACAAATTATTGGCCGTAGCTATAGTATGCCAAAAAGAAAGATGATGAGTTTATGACATAGGTATGGATGTAAGCCAATAATTAATTGATGGGTTATCTGGCCTTTCAGATTCATCACTTTCCTACCGGCGAAGGACTAGAATCTGAGTATTATACGGCCCATAAAAGAAATTTTTAATTTTGGGTGGACCATCATGTAAAATTGGATTAAGAAATGATAAATTCAGAGAATAAAATTCTAAAATACAATTATAGAAAAAAATAAATTATATTTGTATATAAATAAAATTTATATAAAAAATATTAGTTGGATAAGAGTTTTTAAAAGAAATGAGAAATTTAAACAATAAATTTTAAATAATAATAATAATAATATATAATAATTTTAAAATATAAAAAGATAGTATATATATTTTATTTTCACAATACTGAGTGAAAATCACAAATAATAAAGTTTGATATTCCATAATTTTTTTCTAAAAATTCGTAATTAAAATAAAAATAAAGAAAAGAAGCAAGGACTAGGGTTGCGCACCTGGGCGTGGGTCAACTGGCTCACGCACCTGGGCGTAGAGCACCAAGCCCGAACTTGCCTATGCAAAAAAAAAAAAAAATGGTTGCCTTTGATTTCTGGCCATCTCTGCAATTTCCAGAGACATCGATTCTTCGAAAAAGTCATCATCGAATAGTCAGATTTTATCATTTCTGATCTTTTAAAACAAAATTCAGCCCCTTTTTGTCAAAAAAAAAAAAAACCCAAAATTATATAAATAACATCAACAAACTGATCTACCTCCTTCGATCATTTTATCGTCTATCACCATCACAAACAAATTTTACTTTTAGAGGCGAACAAAGTGATGGTAAGCTTGACTGTCAGGATAATCGAAACAAGTCTCACCAGCCCTTTCTTCCTTTTTCCTTCTCTCTTTCTCATTTCTCTCTCCTTTTAGCATGAAGTGATAAAAAATAACGAAAAATCAAGTTGCACACTAAAAAAAAAGGTTAAAAAAAGGGCCAAAGTGCATATTTTTTTGCTTAGCAGTGGCAATCATAGTGATTGAATAAGAAATCTAAACTCAATAAATAATAAAAACAAAAAATCGCAGCGTGTGAACAATGATTTTTGTTTTGTTTTAGTTATTTTTGTTAATGGTTGTGAATCTACAATGCTAGTTTTGTGCTTTGGTCAATGTCTAATGACTTCAATTTGAGAATCTTAGTCTCAATTCCATTTTTTTTGTGTAAATTAAATAAATAAATAATCTAGATGGATAACAATTAGATTTTTCTTAATTGTGTTTTGACTTACATTTATCATTATGAGAGCTTAAGCATAAAAATTGGGTGGATTTTAAAAAATTGTCAAGAAAAAAAAGTTTTAATTGATGTGTAAATTGATTTAAAAATATTTTTTTTACAATTTTTTTTCAAAAAAGGCTTAAGTATAAATTAAAACTAAATCTTCTAGATGTTCCATAATGTAACAACATGAAAATTTATTATGACAGAGAAGTTTGCTTAAACTATGTATTTATGTATTTTTTTAGAAAACCAATATCAGGATGATACCAAATAGCGCTGTGAATGAATTGATTTACTAAAAATTACCGTTTAATTTTGGCATCGATTTTCCGAGATTGATTGCATGTTTTTTCATTTACTCTTTCAATCTCTTAGTATGGTTCTTTTAGACTTGTTGAACTTTTGTGGTCTTTTTACTTGTAAATTTTTTTTAGTACGATCTCTCCATTCATCCTTCTTTAGCTTTTCTTGTCTGTTAGTTTATACCACGGGACACAAATATATTGACTATAGTTGACACGTATTAAAAAATAGATTGGTAAAAAAGATAAATGGATCATTTACCATGGAGTACACTCATACATGTGGTAGAGGATTGGCCAAGTTTCTTAGAATCCACTAATAAAATCCATATTAGAGGTTTAATGGTTAAAAGCTCCTATGCTTCTTTTTATTCTTAATTTTATACTAGTTTTCTTCCTTTATTTTTATCCGTCTCAATGTCCTCTTCCCATTTTCAAATTCGTTTTGGTTAGGTCTTTATCTGACTAGAAATTATAGTTGCAAGTAACCTATCTCGAGATGTTGACTTGTGTTTGAATATGTTTCAAATTCCTTCCTCTTTTTTTTTTATTTTTTTATTTTTTTTATTTTATTTTATGTCGGTCCATACCCTCTACTCTTTATTTGATATTATTTGAGACCATCTATTATAACTTCATTAGTTGTGAGCTTACGTGAAATTGATATAATGTCGATGTGAAACGTCTACTTCGAATACGTGACATGTGTTATATATAAGATCTCGATAGAGAGACTCAATCAAAATAATTCAAAGAGTATAAAGTTTTTATCAAAAAAATCTAAAGATTGTAGAGATCGAATTATTATTATTATTAATTTTTATGTTATTGTGTTTTTAATACCTCTTATTGAATGTCACAAAACGTATCATATGCAAGATCCCATCACAATAAAATTATGAAGAGTTATTTTTTTATAATAATTTAAAAATAACAAAATACATACAAAACGAACCTAACATGGAATTAAAAAAAACCAAATATATTCGTCAAAATTAAAATGAAAATAAAAATAATTTTGACCAGCAACTAATTATCTATATCAAATAAGAAAATATGGTGCAGTCTCGAGTTTTTTTTTAAAGAACAATCCCATTTTTATACTTTTATACTTTGAATTGGTCAAGTATTCAAAATTTCTTATTTTTAATATTCGTCTATTTATTACCCATTTAATACTTGGATATTAATAATTTGGAATAATATTTTATTTTAGTTATTGAAATTTAAAAAAGCTATTTTAGTCCTTAAAATTAAT